TCCTCCTACAACAACCTCACCGTCCCTTCCTCCTCCTCATAGGACAAGCCCATCTACGGCCTTTTCCAGTGCCGCGGCGACCTTGCTGCTGCCGAATGCTCCCGCTGTGTTGCCCAGGCTGTCTCCCAGCTTGGCACCATCTGCCCCGACTCCACAGGCGGCGCCTTGCAGCTCGACGGTTGTTTCGTTATGTATGATGATTCCGAGTTCTTGGGCGTCGAGGACAAGACTTTGGTCGTTAAGAAATGCGGGCCTTCCACTGCGTTTACTTCGGATGGGTTGACTCGAAGATATGCTATGCTGTCGTATTTGGAGACGTTGGATGGGGTGCACAAGGCGTTTAGAACGACTAGCTTGGGGAATTTGCAGGGTATAGCGCAGTGCGTAGGGGATTTGAGTGCGACCGATTGCTAGGATTGCCTCTCAAATGCGATCGGACGGCTAAAAGAAGAGTGTGGGGCCGCTTAGTGGGGTCGGGTAGGCTTGGCCAAGTGCTACGCGTGCTACTCTGAAGGTGGAGATTACTCGCCCGATGAAAACGGTTAGCGGCTCCGCCACCATGAATGGTGGTGGTTTTGTAATTTTTTTTTAATACAGTGATATGGATGAAAATAAACAATCAAATCAAATCAAAATATCAAATAAGGCAAGAATGATAGTGCCTTTTTTTCCAATGAAAGGGCCGCTTGCAGTCACAACACAAAAAGGTAGGTATTTTGGTACAGAGCATCCTCATCATTTGCGACGTAGTCTTTTCTTGATTATTAAGATTAATCATATTTAATTAGTTTGAAATTATCCCTTGTATGATGCGTAATTTTAAATTTGTTATAAACAAAGGAAGCTAATTAATTGATTTATGAATTGCAATGTGTAGGTGAGCGTAAAAACAAGAACGGTGATAAATTTCAGAAGACACAGGCAATAATAGTTGGCATCATAGCAGTGGTGGTTTTGCTCGTCATATTCATTTCATTCTTTACCAAGTCGGGCGAAAGCAAAACGGTATACTCCCTCCGTGTTTTTAATAAACAATATTGTGGTTTATATCAAAATATTAGTTAAAACTAGTTAAAGACAATAAATGTGTAGAAATTAAAAAAAAAATTCTCCAAGATGCTCTTATTTGTGGGGGGAGAGAGTATAAGAGAGAGAATAAGAAAATCATTATAATAAAGAGAATTATAGAAAAGAGAGAATGTGTGATAGAGAGATGATGGTTTGGAAAATAAAATAATAAATATTTTGAGTATTAAAATAAGTAATTAATGAGGACAAAATAGGAAATTTGCTACAAAAATTTAAAACAACCTATAAATATTGCTTATATTTAGAGACAAGAGGGAGACGATAGTTTTTGCTTATAAAATGAGATGGAGGAAGTATTTTTTAACCTTAATTTTCCTTACATATATTGCACCCAATTTTTATCCTTTTTAATTTTCCTAATTAAGAATTTGATTAATCACTTGCAGGTGGTAAATAAAGAAGAAATTCATGCGGAAAATAAAGAAGAAATTCACGTGGAAAACAATTACACTCTCGTAATATTTCCAGTTCGACTAATTTATTAGATTTGGCAGAAGATTTAGTCCCTCGTAACATGGCTAACAAAGGTTAAAATCTTCATTGGAAGATGTGTCCATATCTAATGTTTGATAATATCTCAAACAAGATTGTCTTTGATAAAAAAACGTATGTTCTTATTAAAAAACTATTTGGAAAAATGTAAGAGGCTAAAGCTCTATTGGCTACAAGAGTATGAGAGAGTCAAGTTCTATACATAGTTACATTAAGAGGCCATTTGGAATCACAATTATAAGTACTTATAAGTATGTTTTTGTAAGTCAAGACAAAACTCTTTTTATATAATTATCTTATTTTCTTAAATTACAATTAAAAAAATAATTTATAAGTTGTTCCAAATAGACTTTTCAAGGAGGAAATGCAACAAGCTGCACATTTTCATACAATGTGTTGAAAGAAGCGAGAGACTTTTTTTTTTGGTAAGTACAGATATCCTCTTGATATAGATAATTTTATTCGAGTCATTATTTTATTTTTTTTGGTTGCCCACCCAGTTCACCAGAGCTTTGCTCCGACTACATCTGGATCCGACCTGCGTCACGCACCTGGCTGTGGTGGGTGAGTCTCCCAACAGGGATTTCTACATACACTGAGGCTCGCACTCAAGACCTCACTTAAGCGGTACCAAGCCGCTTACCACTTGGACCAACCCCTGTTGGTGAGTCATTGTTGGTTACTAAATATATAAAAGTAAAAAGCAAAAGTCCAAGCAATAAGTTGGGCCGAATTCGATTTATGAGCATGCACTTTTCACGCTGAGTTTCCAAGTGGGCCCAATCCTCTACAAAGATATGTTTTTTAGTGGAAATTTTGAAGAATAGACAGTTGTATCAAAAACAGTTTGAAGAATTACCAAGAAAAAAAAACAATTTGAAGAACAGCCTGACAAGTTTAAACATATGAATATCAATTTTAAAATATCTAAAAATAATATTATTTTATATAATACAGGAAACATTTCCTTATTAATTATGAGAAAACCTGATTTCGAAGAAGACAAGATAATAAACAACGATGATTGGATTTAATAAAAAAAAACTAGTTTCTTATAATGTGACTAATGGAAGTTAAAATTTTTGTCAGAAGAGGTACTCATATTTAGTGCCTGATAATACTTTGAATAGGATTATTTTCAATACAAAGATGTATATGTTTATGAAAAAAAGATTTGGAAAAATGTGAGGGGTAGAAGCTTTGGCGGTGACAAGAGTATGGAGTCAATTTTTTTACATAGTTACATTAATAGGTCCTGTGGAATCATAATCATAAGCACTTATAAATATGTTTAACATAAGTAAAGAGAAAATTCTTCTCATGTCATTTTTGGTAAATCATGATTAAGAAATAAAAAAATGATAAAAAAAAGTTGAAAATTACTAAATGTCAAATAAGGAATGCCAATAAAAATTTGTTGTCATTTACAAATTTAGTGTTGTTAATATCAAATAAAGTGTTACTGAACCTGATTTGAGATTTAATAATTTTCAGATTTTTTTATTATTTTCGTTTAAAAAATTGCTTACATGTCATTTGGGTCCTTTTCAACAGAAACTACAGCAGGCCGCACTTTTTTGTTCAATATGGTGAAAGAAACGAGAGGGTTAGGCGTGATTAGTTAATTACTTTTATGATCTTATGAACGATGAAAGGCCTGTCACTTCCAAAATGGTTCATGAAAGGAAAAATGCAAAAGCCCAAGCAATAAGTTGGGCCGAATTTCATTTCTGACTATGCATTTTTTGGGCTGAGTTTCCGAGTGGGTCCAATCCTCTCCAAAGATATACTTTATAGTGGAGATTTTTAAGAACAGCTTGACAATTTAAACGCATGAATACCAATTTTAAAATATCTGAAAATAATATCATGTTATATAATAAGCGAAACATTTCCTTATTAATTAGGTACAAAACACAGACACACACGAAAAGTGCAAGTATTTGTTAGGACCAGACTGTGATTACTTAATGACTGCTTTTAGACTTCGGTGTTTAGCTAAAAATCATGATTTCTGCCAATGTCTCGATTTTAATGAGGCCTAGAATCTGATTCACCTAAAACGTTTTCTTTGGTTGTTTGAAAAAAGCACACTAATTAAGGAACAATCACACACAACATAGCGACCACGAAAGAGAACTTTCCTTTGAGAGTCTCGCCGCTCGAGGTCATATCTCTGCCTCTCATTTCGTGTGTCCGCTCGGCGTGTTCATCTAGAGAATTATTACTACTTCATATCCTGTATGTCATCATTTATAGACTATAAATAAAATTTTATAATTAAAACTAAATAGTATAAAAAAAAATTGTAATGAGGTCTCGCTTAAAAGAATTAAATACAAAAAAGTTATTTGAAATCATCAAATTAATATGAAGTTCCAAGGGAGATTGTTAGAGATCCCACTTGTTTAATTACTAATTTGTCTTTATTTTTTTAAATATGTATTGATAATTGAAAGAGTGGTCGTTAACAACTTAAAATGCAATGATTGACAACTATCGCGATAGGTATTAACAATAAATTTTTTCAACGTATCACAAAAATGTAATACATAAGTTGTCAATACCTGTCACAATAGTTGTTAATCGTTATATTCTAAGTTGTTAACAACTACTTTTTCAGTTATAAATACACATTTTAAAAAAAAAGACAAGGATAAATTAATAATTAAACAAGTAAAATATCTTAGAACGAGGTCTTTTGAAATTTCAGAATAATTTGATAATTTCAAAAGACTTTTTATATTTAAGGTGGGACTTTATGGCAATTTTTTTATTTTATAAAATGGTACTATCTATATTTACTACGCATATGTCTTTACATTCATTATCTTATTTATTCTTGGGACTATTAAAAGGATTTAGGTATCATTTTACGGACTTATATTCCGTAACGAATTCTATTTTCTAAGAATTTCATGTCTGTTGGGCTTATTACCAAAGTGCTATTATTTTTTCATTCATTCCAGTCCTTATTATAGATATGTTTAGTATATTTCATAATATAATATACTTTATTTAAACTACCATAATTTTTTTCACATAGTATCACTATCTACCTAATGACTTATTAAAGTAAATTCGATATTTTACAAACTCATAATTGTTTGCAAAAAATAATCATCGTGTATATCAATACAAAAACATGAAACACTAAAAAAAATGAAATGAAATAACAATTGGAGTTAATTCATAAAACAATCTTTGGCACCAAAAAAAATTGTAAAACAATCATGCTCATAAATAAATAGATAGATAGAAACACATCAGTTGGTCTCACGTTTCTCTCTTGCCTATGTGAATGGAGTATTTGGAGCCAACAACATGTTCCTTCACTATAAATATGCCCACTCTTTCTTCTCTTCCCTCACAAATCACTTCCCTCCCTGATCTCTCTCACTCATCTCAGCCAATCGGCCATGGCTTCCATTGAAAGTAACAATCAAGAGGGTATCTTTACTTCTCTTCTTTGACTTGGCAATATACTTTAATTACTCCATTTTCACCTTCAAATTGATACTCCTGCAGGTTTTCATGCGGCAGTATCAGATTCAATTACTGAGCCCCACCAAAACTTTCTGCAAAAGCACGCTTACTTCTTCGACAGGAACCAAGACGGCGTCTTCTACTCCTGGGAGACTTTCCGAGGTGTATATATTTCCATTGTTTTCTCTGAAACCAAACAAGAATTTGTAGACGGAGGAATATTCACTAACAGTTATCGTATTGAATCTTCTGATTGCAGGGCTTCGTGCAATTGCTTGCGGCATCTTCTTGTCTTCTGCATTTTCACTTTTCCTCCATTTGGCTCTCAGTCAGAAAACTCGCCCCGTAACTTTCTCTATCTTTTCTTTTCTAGCATAGTTCTCAACGTGGTTGTATTTGAATAGAAGGAGATGTTGATGTCGGTAAGTGACAATCAAGCGGGCATCTTATTGATGAATGGTGCGGGGAAAATGTCCTTCTCTGTTTTTACCAATTGGAGTTAGAAATGTCCAAGGAGGCAAACATGGGAGCGACTCCGGTGTTTATGATTCTCAAAGAAGGTTCGTGTGCGTTGTTCTTCTAAACATTTATTCTTTTTGATAATTTTCAAATTATCTACTCACATGATGAAGTGGTTTATAAGTTCAAAAGATTCTATCATCTAATAGGCTAATCTTTTAAATTTGTGCTCGTAATGTTAGTGCTTTCATTAGAAGTGTTGAAGGCAGAGTGTATTGTTACAAGTCTCATATTGAGAAATATCACAAGAGAAATGAGGCAAATTTATGAAGCTCGACCTCCATACGCTAGTTTTTTGAGATGTTCTCTTCCCTTGCTTGTAATATTGATGCAATATTTTCCATTTAGGACATGATCAATATGTACATAAAGTGATAGCTATGATTCTTTACTCTGTTTATTTGGACAGCATTTCTCATTCAATCGCCAATCTTGTTTACATATGTACGTATATACCACCCAAATGCTTTAACATCGGATGAAGTGTCGGCCATGTTCAAGGCAAACAAAGATCCTAAGGATTACTGTGGATGGTAATGACTCATCATTAATCAATTAACCTTTTTGTCATTTACTACAGGGTTGGTAGCTATGTAGAGTGGACACTTCTGCATTATCTGTGCAAAGACAAGAATGGTTTGCTACGCAAAGAAACAGTGAGAGTTGTTTATGATGGTACCTTGTTTCATCAAATGAAAAAGGACCACTCTTCCAACACTACCCTCTAATTTTACAGATTCTTTCATCAAAACTAATATATGTACATGAATTGTTGAATAATGGTGTTGGGTTTCATTTGGATCATTTGCATCCTCAATTAATGATTTTGTAATTTAGTGACTTGAAAGTTTATGAATAAATGGATAGTTTTTTTTTCTTTTTGAAAAAAAAAAGTCGTCGGTCCTTATTTGAGAACAATTAGTGGGCTGGATTCCGGTGTAGGCCCAACTTGGTTTTCCATAGTTAGTCCATTGAAATCGCAATCATATTCATCGACATATGAGAGAGGCTTTGGATTATGTGGAAATGAACATGCAATTGATGACAATAGAAACCTTGTTTATATCCGTCACTTGTACTGCCCTAAAATGTTGTACCAATGATATACATCAATATCAATACTAATATACTTTTTCCGCTAGTTAATTAATCTACATAAATTAAAAATAATTAATAAATTAGTTATTTGCACCAAAAATCTTTTTTTTTAAAAAAAAGAAACCCTCCTTTTAATCATACAATTGCCATTCAACTTTGCAGTACAATAATTTTATTATTGGGGTAGTTTGAAAAAATAATAGATGAGAAAAACAAAGAAAATTAATATATTATAGTTAAGATCAAAACAAACTCTTCAATTAATTGGTTTCTATAGTTAAGACCATATAGAATATATATATATATATATATATATATAACAAAGTCGATGCACACACCTCCATATGATTTTTTTTTTTTAAATTAAAGAGGCCAGTCCTAATAGTTTGAAGTTACAAGTGGAATAGAATGCGCAATTTCTCACTTATAGGAGAGCGTCAATATCACTAAGTTACAAAGCCTTTGACTCTCCCACAGATTCTAGTCTCATTGAATCGAGGTTGTTATTATGGCGAGTACTGCACATCACTTTGTAAACAATCTTAGCTTGTAATGAAGCGTATAGCTAGCGATTCGTGATGTTGGGAGAAGAGGTTCCTATCAGTCAACACCAAAAATGGGACAATGTGAGATACCCCAATTATATAAACTTGTAGGGTTCTCATTATTCTCCCTTTCATTTTGACACACTCATTCTTATTACGTACTTAAATGATTAATTTTTTGTATGTAAATAATATCAAAGAAAGAAATATCTTCTACTTGCATATCTACCACCACAAAACAGGTATATTTGGGGGGAAAAAAAACGAAAGGTTGAAGAGAAAATAAGGATGGGATAAGTAGTAAAGGGCAAAAAAGTGTAAACCCTAACGTGCATGTCGATCGGGTGGTAGTGTTGTGTGTTGTTGTGGTGGCAACATCAAAGGCCCATGTGTTGTTGTGGTGGCAACATCAAAAGACCCAAGACAAAAATCCTCGCACCCCACACACACTCAACAACGTAAATTAAATTTTACAACAATTATGTAAACAAACAAACAATCATGCAAAGGTGCCCTCGTCATTTAATATGAAGTCAATCGTCAACCATTATCATTATACTATGACTTTCCTGTAAGGAGATGGATGTTTCGGTCCACATAATGAATAAGAGGTTCTTCCATTGGTAGCCACACGTCCCACCAGACATTACATGTGCTCCCCCCTTTGACAGAGCAACCTACTCCCTTGTAAAATTTGTCCCACACATTTGCTATCCTCAGCCAAACTCTGGAAGCATTTTGTTTTTTACAAGCCATCGGGTACCCAGAAGAATTTCCACACCCATACTTACCTTTAAGGTATTGTACCCATAGAGCATTTGGTTTTGTGAGGACCCCCCAACAAAATTTCATGATAAAGGCTGTGTTTTGAGTGTGCAAGTCCTTAATACCGAGTCCCCCATCTAACTTGATCCCACCTAATTAGGTGTAGTTTCCTCCCTTCTATGCTTTGGCTCCAAAAGAAATCTCGACATATTTTCTCAATTTCTTTTAAGACCCCTTTTGGCATAAGTAAAGTTTGCATCTGATAGCTAGGGAGGGCTGAGAGTACTATTCTAATCAACACTGTTATGCTTGAATTCTCTTCAAAGACATCATATAATCATTATTACGTACAGAAGCATACCCACACACACATATTGCTATTTCGATCATGTTATCTATAAAAAAGGCCTACTTGCTCCTCTTCCTCTGCCCATCTCACTCACGCATTCTCACCACCACGCACGACCATGTCAATGCTCTCTTCTCACTTTCCTTCTCTGCTTCTTCTTCTTCCTCCTCTTCTGCTACTCATATCCTTCGCAACCCCAACGTCTTCCTCCTCCTCCTCCACCCAGGCTTTCGTCTATAGCAGTTGCTCTCAGGCTAAGTTCATGCCGGGCTCTGCCTATGGGTCTGCCGTCAGCTCCCTTCTCACTTCCATCGTCAACGGCGCCATGATCTCCTCCTACAACAACCTCACCGTCCCTTCCTCCTCCACACAAAACACCCCCATCTACGGCCTTTTCCAGTGTCGCGGTGACCTTGTCGCTATCGAATGCTCCCGCTGTGTTGCCCAGGCTGTCTCCCAGCTTGGCACCATCTGCCCCGACTCCACAGGCGGCGCCTTGCAGCTCGACGGTTGTTTCGTTATGTATGATGATTCCGAGTTCTTGGGCGTCGAGGACAAGACTTTGGTCGTTAAGAAATGTGGGCCTTCCACTGCGTTTACTTCGGATGGGTTGACTCGAAGAGATGCTGTGCTGTCATATTTGGAGACGTCCGATGGGGTGTACAAGGCATTTAGAACGACTAGCTTGGGGAATTTGCAGGGTATAGCGCAGTGCGTAGGGGATTTGAGTGCGACCGATTGTCAGGATTGCCTCTCAAATGCGATCGGACGGCTAAGAGAAGAGTGTGGGCCCGCTCAGTGGGGTCGGGTAGGCTTGGCCAAGTGCTATGCGTGCTACTCCGAAGGTGGAGATTACTCGCCCGATGAAAACGGTAAGCGGCTCTGCCACCATGAATAGTGGTGGTTTTGTATTTTTTTTTAATACAGTAATATGAATGAAAATAAACAATCAAATCAAATCAAAATATCAAATAAAGCAAGAATGATAGTGCCATTTTTCCAATGAAAGGGCCGCTTGCAGTCACAACACAAAAAGGTAGGTATTTTGGTACAGAGCATCCTCATCATTTGCGACGTCGTCTTTTCCTGATTATTAAGATTAATCATATTTAATCAGTTTGAAATTATCCCTTGTATGATGCGTAATTTTAAATTTGTTATGAACAAAGAAATCTAATTAATTGATATATGAATTGTAATGTGTAGGTAAGCGTAAAAGTAAGAACAGTGATGGACTTCAGAAGACGCAGACAATAATAGTTGGCGTTGTAGCAGTGACGGCTGTGCTCACCCCATTCATTTCATCCTTCACCAAGGTCATAAAAAGCAAAGTAGTATATTTTTTAACCTTAATTCCCCTTATGTATATTACACCCAATTTTTATCCTTTTTAATTTTTCTAATTAAAAATTTGATTAATCACCTGCAGGGGGGAACTAGAAGAGAAAATCCTGCGCATAACAAACCCCCTCCCCCAATAGTTCAGCTTGATTTACGATCAATTTGTCGGCCGGATTCTGGTGTAGGCCCAACTGGGCATCCCAGTGACAGTCAATCGAAACCGCAATCGTGTTCATCGACATGTGAGGGAGGGGCAAGTGATGACAATAGAAACCTTGTATGTATGAGTCACTTGTACTGCCCTTAAATGTTGTATCAATGATATACATCAATATCAATAATAATATACTTTTTCCGCTATTTAATTAATTTACATAAATAAAAAATAATTAATAAATTGGTTATTTGTAAAAAAAAAATCTTTTTTTTTAAAGTACCCCTCCTTTTAATCATACAATTGCTGTTCAACTTTGCAGGGCAATAATTTTATGTAGTTTGGAAAAAAATAATAGATGAGAAAAACAAAGAAAATTAATATATTATAGTTCAGATCAAAACAAGCTCTTCAATTAACTAGTTTCTATGGTTAAAACCATATAATATATATATATATATATATATATATATAAAACAAAGTCTATATACACACCTCCATATGATTTTTTTTTTTTAATTAGAGAGGCAGGTACTAATAGCTTGAAGTTACAAGTGGGATAGAATGCACAATCTCCCACTTACAAGAGAGAGTCAGTATCACCAAGTTACAAAGCCTTTGACACTCTCATATAGGTTCTAATCTCATTGAGTCGAGGTTGTGAGGTTGTTATTATGGCAAGTACTGCATATAACTTCGCAAACAATCTTAGCTTGTAATTAAGAGTATAGCTAGCGATCTGTGAGGTTAGGAGAATAGGTTCCTATCAGTCAACACCAAAAATTGGATAATGTGAGATACCCCAATTATATAAACTTGTAGGGTTCTCATTATTCTCCCTTTCATCTTCCTCCCAATCTGAGTTTTAACACACTCATTCTTATTACGTACTTAAATGATCAATTTTTTGTATGTAAATAATATAAAAGAAAAAAAAATATCTTCTGCTTAATATATCTACCACCACCAACAGGTATATTTGGACAAAACAAAAAACAAAAGGTTGAAGAGAAAATGAGGATGGGGATAAGTAGTAGAGGGCAACAAAACCTAAACCCTAACGTTGACCGGTTGTAGTGCATGCTGTGTGTTGTTGTGGTGGCGATATTAAAAGACCAAGAGAAAAATCCTCACAAAACACACGCGCGCGCATGCACAACAGTGTAAATTAAATTTTACAACAATTATGTAAACAAACAAATAAACAATCATGCAAAGGTGCCTTCATTATTGAAGCCTATAAAGTGACTTTCCCCTCGTTAATCTAATAGGCACTGTCAATTATTGGAAGCTTGTTTAATATGAAGTCAATCGTCAACCATTATCATTATACTATGACTTTCCTGTAAGGAGATGGATATTTCGGTCCACATAATGAATAAGAGGTTCTTCCATTGGTAGCCACACGTCCCACCAGACATTACATGTGCTTCCTCCTTTGATAGAGCAACCTACTCCCCTGTAAAATTTGTCCCACACATTTACTTCCAGTTCAGCCAGTTTATTGGATTTGCGAGATGGCTAAGAAATGTTAAAATATTTATCGGAATATGTGTTCACATTTAGTGTTTGATAATATCTCAAATAAAATTACCTATAATAAAAAAAATGTATGTGCTTATTAAAAAACATTTGGAAAACTGTGAGAGGCTGAAGCTCTAGTGTTTGCAAGATTATGAGAGTCAAGTTCTATACATAGTTACACTAAGAGGCCATTTGGAATCATGATTATAAGTACTTATAAGCACGTTTGTGTAAGTCAAAACAAAACTCTTCTTATATACTTATTTTATTTTTCTTAAATTATTATCAAATAAATAGCCTATAAGTTGTTTCAAACAGACTTTTTTAAACAGGAATTGCAAGAGGCCGCACATTTTTGTTCAATATGTTGAAAGAAGCGAGAGAGTTAGTTAGGCGTGATTAGTTAGTTTCCTTTATGATCATATGAATGATGAAAGACCATTCACTTCTTCTTCTTTTCTTTTTTTTTTTGGATAAGCACAAGTATTCTCTTGGTAAAAGCAATTTTGTCTAAATCAATATCACGTACTAAATATGTGAAAGCAAAATGCAAAAACCCAAACAATAAGTTGGGCTAGGGCAACATCGGGCACTGAGTATGCATTCTTCAGGCTAAGTTTCCAAGTGGACCCAAGCCTCTACAAAGTTGTTTGTTCTAGTGGAAATTTGGAAGAATAGACAGTTGTATCAAAAAATTTGAAGAACAGCCTGACAAGTTTGAACTTGTGAATATCAATTTTAAAATATCCGAAAATAATATTATTTTGTATAATGCACGAAATATTTCCCTATTAATTATGAGAAAACCTGATTTCTAAAAAGACAAGATAATAAATTATACATGATTTTTTTTTTTTACCCCGGAATTCTACGTGAATTGTAAATTATATACTCATACATTTTTAATACGTTCAAATTGATAACGAACCACCTCAAATTAAAAATTATTGTTGGGGAAAGTTTCATTATTTTAAGATTAAATACATTATATGTATAAGTAATTTGTAGGTCCTTTTAATTAGTTAAATTATTATAGGAAACTAATATCAATAATTTTACTAATGACGAAACTTGTGTATTAGCTTAACTGTTTTTTTTTTTTGGGCCAAGGAGAAGCTTGGATATATTTTTGGGCAAAGTCTGCAGCTTAAATTTTTTGGTCAAATAAAAAGGCTTAAAATTAAATTTATGTGAGCACTACGCGGCTAAGGAAAGGCAACACATGAAATTTGAGTCTCCCACGTGTAGCGGTACGTGTCGTTTCGCTCGTCTGACCCCAGAGGACAACTTGTCTCCTAAGAAAGGCGGCATTTCCTTCTCCCGAACGAAGTAAAGAACCAAAAGCGTCGGTCTTTCCCCCAAGAACTGTCATTGCATCGCAGATCTGTCGCACAGAACAAACATCAGTGTTCCCATGGCGCTCGAATGGGTTGTGCTTGGATACGCCGCCGCCGCCGAGGCCATTATGGTGCTCCTCCTCACCGTTCCTGGCCTCGACGGCCTCCGTAAAGGTTTGATCGCCGTGACCCGAAATTTGCTCAAGCCCTTCCTCTCCGTCGTCCCGTTTTGCCTCTTCTTGCTCATGGATATCTACTGGAAGTACGAGACTCGCCCTAGTTGCGAGGCTGACTCCTGCACCCAAACGGAGTACCTCCGACACCAGAAGTCCATCATGAAGAGCCAGCGCAATGCCCTCCTCATTGCCGCCGCTTTGGTCTTCTATTGGCTCCTCTACTCCGTCACCAATCTCGTTGTTAAGATTGAGCAGTTGAATCAGCGGGCGGAGCGCTTGAAGAATCGGGATTGAGTCCTCTCATGATTGGCAATTAGCGAGTCAATCAGGGTTTGGAGTGTATAACTCTCTTTTCGTGTGTTATAATGGATGGATACCATTTCTTTCAATGTGTGTGTTCTTTTTCATTAATTTTCAAATTTTGACTACTATTGTGTCAGTGGTATTTTTGCTTGTCCAACATTCTCTTTTTGGTTGATTATCTTGGTTACGATATGTTTGAAACTTCATAAGGGCTTTCTCTGTTGATTCGCATCAATGGATCGTTGATACAGCTTATTCGTCTCAAAATGTGGATTTGCGGGCATACATTCTATCTTCGTCGGGGTCCGTTTAATTGTAATGAATGCGAAAAACTCAGCCTTGAGGAAAAACAAATGCTTGCTGAAGAATTTGTTGCTTGTCTCTTTGTCCAATGGATATGTAAGTTCATCGTGCAGCTATAATTAAATTTAAACGCACACATGCATCTAAAGGAGCACAAGAATAAGCCTTGCCAAGTTATATGATACTATTTCTGTTAAGACAACTGCCTTGCCGGTTGTCTTGTATAGATGTTGATCTGAACTGCATCCTCCGATTGTGCCGTACTGCTGTGAGTTATGATATTCTTAAGCTTATTCCTGAATTTTGGGTCGTTTGATGAACACACACACACACACACATGAAGTGAAGAATTGGTCGTAGTCTCTCTGGTTCAACCAGAAAAGCATTTTGGTTGCACACTAACAATCTAATGACTAATTTCACCTTAATCACTTATGTGGGCTTCGAAGGGTAAGGAGTTGTGTAGTTGAGTTTATTTACAGCATAAAGAATATATTGGTAGACAGAAATTTGTTATGTCTTTTTCTCCAAAGCCAAAATATATGTTTTTCTTGTTTGGACAGTACACGCTGAAGAAGTTAGTAGATTTCTAATCCTGCTCGAGTCTGGCTTCTCTGTTTCGGTGGTAAGTGGTGAGAAGGATCAAGAAAGTTCTTTCTTTTTTCCTTTGGATGGCATTCTTTTGGTTGATATTTTTTTTTTTGAAGAAAAATTCTCAATATTATAATCATAGCTTAGAACAATTCAGGTATCAGATTTGAGAAGATTGCTGGAAGGTGTTATCTACTAGTTCGCAGTTCTTGTAGTCTTGGTGGATGTCGTTGAGCTAAGTAACCTCGGGATTGCAATTTAGTTTTTTGTGCGGCATTAGTAAAGAGTTATTCGAGAATGAATGGGATTTGAGTTAGCAATATTTCCCAGTTTTAGAAGGGTGTTGGTATTCTTGCAGTTTTTCTTACCAAATACAGGTATCACCATCATCTTATTGAAGCCAATCTTAATCTTATTCGAGGAATTGACAGACTATTATTTTTAGTGATGAAGTTGTATTACCTTTTCAGTTGGGTTTACGTTATTTCGTTGGATTCTTGTGGTATCAAGTTAACTTGGCTACCTGACTTTGGTCCTTGCATGATTCTGCTTTCAACTTCGATTTTATGCTGTTTATGATGTATTAAGTTGAATATTGATCAATATTGTGTTTGAATGATTTCCTGACTCAAGCGATAGTTTGATTTCTTTGCTCAGCATATACTACTACTGATTTTTAGTTTAAGATTTATTTGACTAGTTTTGGTAGATTAAAAACATCAATTAAATTAATTATTTGCAAAAAATATGTATTAATTTTTTAAAATATGAAATGATAAGTATACGATGAGTTTTAATATTTAGAACTTAACATAACACTTCAACTGAGTTTATATGTAAAGATTGCAACAATTTTTTTTTTTTGGGGCTAAAGCGATTGCCATGGATCATGATTATTTATTCCCGTCAACGAGAAAATATTTATTGCGGAGAAATAAGTGAAAGGTATTTATAACAATTAGCCATCACATCAAAGTTGCATCGGGTGAGAAAAGAGGGAAGGATACTTTGAACAAACATCTTCGATGATAATTCCGTCGAATTAGCAATGGGCCTCTTAAATGGCAAGAATAATATTGCTGATGAATTAAAGGCCTCTTCATCTATTTTATGGTGAAGAAATTGCTTCGTTTTTTCAACATTTTTCAATAAAGGATGCTATTTTATCAAATATATTTTCTAATGGAGTGGCAATCGCAGTTGGGTTTCTTGGATCAGTGGTTAATGATGGTCTTTTAGCAAGGAAGACTGAAAAAGCATTCGATCCAGGAATAGGTTGACCAGAAAGATTAACAAGAGATCATTAGAATTAACAACTACACTAGTTTTTTATTTATAAAAAAAATTTGTCAATTCTGCGACGTCACACCCCTTTATGAAAATCGATCCTGTCAAGTCCATGGTGTTTCAGGAGGAAAAAGGCGTAAATAAAAGGAGAAAAGAGAAGATTAGGTGATGTCGATGGGGAAGGGGAAAAAGAAAGGACGAGGAGTCGTGCACAAATTTTTTTTTTTTTTTTTTATGTTGTTTGATAATTTTTATTTTAATAGGTGAAAATCTAAGACGAATTTTTTGGCCATCCTAAGACGATACTCTTTTAGCTATACTCGTATTAAAAAATTATTAATTAAGATTTTTATATCTAAACTATTTAAATTAGATTTTAACTATATGGAAGAGGTGGCGGGATTTATTAGTTAATCCCACTTGCGCGTAACTGGGCGAGACTATTTCTCTGTCAACTCTGTCTAAACCGTAGCGCTAGTTAACGGCAAGTTTCAGGGTTTCTTAATTGCTACTACTGGCCAAGAATGCAAAATTCTCTTCCTGACTTTTCAAGGTCTTCGTCCTCCTTACTTCTCCTTTCATTTCATTTCCTCTTCAATATCTCCGAAAATAAATATCAAGCTTTTCTCTTCCGGGTTTATTCAATAGAATCTTCATAATTTTATCAATCCTTTTTCCTTTTGGCTTCTTGGGATTCTGTATCGCTTTTCGCTGATCATTGAAGCGTCTGTGGACATGGGCGACATGAAGGATAAATTTAAGACTTTCATGAAGAAAGTCTCTCCATCACCCTCCGGTAAATTCAAGGGTCAAGGAAGAGTTCTAGGATCGTCCTCATCCCCATCTTCATCTTCTCCATCCAGTAGTTCTATTCTTCTCCGTCCTCCTCAGAATTCGGGTCCAAAACCAGGCTCTGCATCGGCGAACTCTCGACCGTTACCCCAGAAAACGATCGATTCGGAGTCGAATAGGAAGGAAGGCTCGAGTAAGTCCAATCCTGATCGCAAACCGGCGGACGGGTTTGACCCTTACGATTCATTGATAACTACGGGGAAGAGATCTAAAAATGGCTGTTCTTTGGATGTGTATGAATGTCCCATATGTGGGCTATCGTTTAGGTCCGAGGAAGAGGTGTCTATACATGTGGATACCTGTCAAGGTAACCCAGTTGAGCCTGATGACGGAAATGGTGTCTTACAATTACCTGACAATGGAGTTCAGTCAAGAACTGAATTGGAGGCTTGCATCAGCATGTATATGTCAGGGAAGCCATCTGAGGGTTCAGTTGAAGTTGTCCTCAAACTGTTGAGGAATATTGTGAAGGAACCAGATAACGCGAAGTATAGGAAAATTAGGCTGACTAATGCAAAGATAAAAGAGGCTGTTAGTGAGGTTGCAGGAGGAATTGAGCTGCTGAGCTATGTAGGATTTGAGCTAAAGGAGGAGGATGGGGAGAGATGGGCAGTGATGGAAGTTCCTATAGAAGATCAAATAAAATTGATGAAGGAGGCAATAGTATTATTGGAATCACCAGTACTACAAGAACCTGCAAAGAGAGACAATTTGGCATCTGAAACATGTGCTGAGATGGATGAAGAGGCAGAACCGAAAAAGGTGGACAGACAGGTATAAATCATATAGATGATATTTTTGAAATTCAATTGTTTGGTTTTAAAGGTTTTCTGTAAGTATTCATATTGCGAGTTTTGCCCGGGTGGAAGAATTTTTTTTCCTTCTTTCTTTTGGGGATTCATGATCTAATTGGCGGCTTGATAGGTAAAGGAAAATTGTTGGGATCTAATAAATTATCTACCACCTGAGGTGAAGATGCAAGAAAATGTCACTCAGATATTATTTCCCCTCCTTCTGCCATGGCCGCTGATCAGTACAACAAGATTCACTGTCTAAATGCAAATTTGCTGACCTTAGAGAGAGCTTTAGAATTCCAAATTGGTTTATCTAATCAAAACTGAATCCAATTTGGAGGGAGTTAAATGTTGAAAGAAAAAATCAAGAGAATAAATGCTGGAAGAGCCAAGAGTCCATTTTCTCCTATCTAATCGAGTAGAATAAAAAGCTTCTGAATCGATGCATTTTAGAAAGAAGAGAGATTATAAAGGTGAGGAAAAGCCTTCATGAAGGAAACATCATCTTCTATCCTGATAACCTCCCAAAATCTAAATCATGATCCATCATCCAATCTTGTTGCCATTCTGCATAAATAGTATGCGGCAGTGACCTTTTCTGGTTACTGTTGCAATTATATTTTGCATCACTCAAACGTGCTTTTGTCATTTCTTTATTCTTAGTTTGTCTGTTGCAAAAAAAAATATTATTAGTTTGTCACTTGAGCCCTCTATAATTTATAACAGAAGATAAGCCGCTGTGTTCAGGTTGAATATATCTAATCATGTTTTGGGGAAAAAACGATTTTCTTCAGGTAAAGGTCTTCTTTGCTGTACCAGAAAGCATTGCGGCAAAGATTGAGCTGCCAGATTCTTTCTATAACCTTTCAATTGACGAGGTGAAAAGAGAAGCTGAACTAAGGAGGAAAAAAATTGCGGAGTCTCAGCTTTTAATCCCCAAGTCACTAAAAGAAAAGCAAGCAAAAGCTGCTAGGAGGAAATACAGAAAAGCTATGATTCGGATCCAGTTTCCAGATGGAGTAGTGCTTCAAGGTGTATTTAATCCATGGGAACCAACAACTGCTTTATATGAGGTTTGTTCTAACTTCTAGCACGTACTTGTTATGATACTTTATTCTAGAGAACCGATTTTGAACATAAAGTTTTGTTTGTCCATCTTGTTTTAGCCCTGTTGGAATAAGTTAGCATGAGACCTGGTTTTCAACTGATTATCTCCAATACTTCTGCTGTCACTTATTTGTCTGACAAGAAGCTTTCTGTATTGAAATAACGAGGAATTTCTCTGGTTCGAAGTGTAACTTGATTGCTGTTAATGATCATTACTGGCTATTATAACTTTCATGTTATCAGTTACCTCTCCATACATAATGCCTTTTTTTTCACAATTCGTGGGAGGCGTTAATGCCTTACACTTCAACAGCCCTGGTCCAAGGCAATCCCATCTACTATCGTCCTACGGCAATCAGTGGCCATCTTTCAGTGGCTCATCTAAAATAACCGGTCCAGCCTCGTGATCGTGAGCATGACCACCTGACCTTTTCCCTTCCCTGAAGACATGATTAAACTGAACCACCTAATCATGGCTCACAAAATTATTTATCTTCTGAATTTAACTCAAACAAGTGAGGCAACCTTGAGCACCCTTCCATGATCAGGTCTGATGCTCAAGCGGAAATAGATTTCGTTCTTATCATTTTGAATCCCAAATCCTAGGCCATCTCCAATCCACCTAGGGAGCACACCGCACATCTCCACAGACAGGACTCCTCATTCTCCGAGGTTTCTAACAAAACCTTTTTGTTGCTTAGATGACTGCCCAATATGCGCCTATCAGTTGCTGCTTTAGCATTAATATTTCAACTATTTAATTCCCTATTATTTAGGTCCTTAGGAGTAGAATTAGTCTAGAAAATATTTTTAATTTAATTTCCCCCTGATTGGATGCTTAATCGTTGCGCTTACATTGTGAACACTGGCTTTTTATGTTACCTACTCTGTTTTCGATAAGAAACAAGATTGCTCTTCTGATGCTGCTCACTTCGTACCATTTACCTGTGCCACCTTTAGAGACTCCTTTACGACCACACCCCATCCCTTCATTTGAGCTGGACCCGTCAGTATTGCAGGTCACCTTGCCCTCTTCTGGATCCCAATCCCAAAACCAAAAAACACTTTACAATTTGTAAATCTGTCTTTTCCCATTTTTCCTCTTGTTTAGATTAATCCATTCTTCCCTATCTGCAAAAAAGGAATTCCAGAAACTAATATCTACTGACACGTGCCAAAACCTTGTACTCGTACTACAATCTCTCACCATGGGAAGATTTGACTCAGCAAAGCCACGTCTTTACCTATGATCATTTGTCATCACACCTCCATGCATATGAGCATAATTAGAGAGGTTAGCTTTTGTGGAGTTGAAAATTTCCAAACAATATTCCAATTGAATCGCACACTGTTCTGTATGGGAGGTTACTGAAGTTTATAAGCTGATTTTACAGAAAACACATTGTCTTTAGATGGCTTCCACACAATGACATCTCATCCTTATGAGGATTTTGGGTTGGGGACATTGGCAATTATATTACAAAGTAGCAATTTATTAAGCTGGTCCTTGTCCCACCGCACATTTTTAGCAAGTGCACATACTGGCATATTTGATCCTCGCTGACAGGTTGGACGATTAATCCCTGAAGCTTCTTGATGCCCAGAACCCAAAGAAACAGTTCAGAATTCACATTATTACCCTTGCCCATATTCCAGCCAATGCAATTCAACACATTTTCGCAAGGATTGCATACCCCGCGTCAGAGATTTCAAGAGGATCCCCTCTTCATAACCAATGAAATTACATTATTCCCTCGTTTACTTTTGCTTGTGATCCCTCTTGCCCAAAGCTCATCCCTCCTTGCCACAAGAAACCATCCCACTTTAATTAGCCAGGCTTTATTATTTTTGTTGTTTTATTTTTATTATTTTTGCTTTTTTGGGTTCCTTGATGATGTCTATATAGTATATCATGCTTTGCGTATTCTCTGCTACACCCAAAAAGCAACTGTCTTATTTTGTTTGGTGATAAAACTATCAAGTCTTTGCTTTGGTTGAAATTTGAAAAACGACTATTTTTATTAGCTTTTCTGGATCTCTAACTCGGCCTAAGTTTTGTTTCACATGATGATGAAACAGTTCGCCAGCTCCGCATTGAAAGAACCAAGTTTGGAATTTGACCTAATGCATCCTGTACTTGTTCAACGACGGGTAATCCCTCATTTAGCTAGAGCAGGGGAGAAAGCCGTAACACTAGAGGACGAGGATCTGGTGCCTTCAGCTCTTATTAAGTTGAAACCTCATGAAACGGATTCTGTTGTTTACACAGGCCTCAGAAATGAATTGCTTGAAATCAGTGAACCTCTCTCATGAGAGATTAAACTGTTGCTTCTGCATGTGCTTCATCAGTTTCTTTTCTACTTCTCCACTTCTATTATTAGGTGGGAGTGATGCAGATATATTGTTTTTTTTTGTTAAGGTGCGTTCAACATCCCAAAATATTTTTTCGGGCACATTCAGCACTTTAAAGTATTTTTAGGTACATCCAACACCCCAAAGTATTTTTTAGGAGCGTCCAGCACCCTAAAATATTTTTTTTTTGTCTTGATGCTAGATGCACCAAAAAATATTTTTGGGTGCTGTACACATCTAAAAAAAATATTGAGATGCTGGATGCACAAAAAAATACTTTACGGTGCTGGATGCATCTAAAAAAAATACTTCAAAGTGCTGGACGCATTATAAAATACTTTAGAATGCTGGATGCACCTGAAAAAATATTTCAGAGTGCTGGATGCACTTTAATTTTTTTTGTGGGGGGGGGGGGGGGTTTGTTATTGTCATTTGCTGTCAAACAGTCCTATATTACCGATGGGCATAATGTTCTTCAGGTTTATCTTCTGGAAATAATGCTATTTTCCAGGGTTGCACTCGAAGTCCTGCTCTTGAATGGAGTGTTGATCTGGGTGACCGCCGCACAGCTTGACTTTGAATGGCCAACGGCTTCTGCGTATTTCATGCTTCTGTTTAGGATGGTCCAAACGGTCTTCATAGTAAGCTCCGCTTAACTGCAAGTTAAGAATGTTAAAATTAATTTTTTCTCATAAAATCTCAAAATAATTCTCGATACACATTATTAGTTGGAGAAATTTAGTTAATTAGTTGGGAAGTTTTATAATTAATTAGGAATACCAGGTAGAAGATTAATTCTCTACGTAAAGCATGCTATATCATAAGATATATGCATATATATAGGAAATCTTTTATAACAAGGACATGAAAAAGTAAAAATAAATGAATGATATAAGAAATAAGAAATTTATCCGATTAGACGTGATCGGAAGTTGTAAATAACCAATGGAGCTTTCATCTTCTCTTTCCAATAATTTAATAATCCATTATGCGCCCAATTTTCACATTACTCTTCAATATATGCCTTGCATAAGAAATCGTCGAACGAAAATCAATAATAAAAATTCAGTAAATATATCAGTCATGCATGACGTTTTCATTGTCTATCATTTAATATCGAGTTCAAAGCATGTAGTTTGAGATTTTTTTTTTTTTGGGGAAAACAATCGTTATAATTGAAAGTTTGCTTTTTATTTTTAATATTAGCTTCTCTTTTCCCTGAGGAAGATTCACACGGACAGTCAAATCAACAACGACTCTCTGGTGATCGGATGATAGCTTTGTAAGAGCAATTTGAATAACTTTGAGGGAGTGCACATGGTTGAGGGACGCTCATTCCTAAAGTATATATTCTATATTGACATATGAATAATTTAGACGAAGGGGTCAAATTAAAATTATTGAAGTGAGCGTCCCTTGTATTACTGTGCAAACATAAAGAATATGTAAAAGCCATGCATGTGATCTTCATGACTGGTTCAGTCTCGGAGTAATTAATTTAACCCAAAAGAGGCCAATCCTGTCATAGTTGATGCCTTCGTCTTTCTTTTACTTTAAGCAGTGACTCCCCCCCCCCCTTCATTTTATTAGATTTGATTATCCTCTTATTAAAAACAATCATGTTTGACATATTGTTGAGACACTTACTGTGGATATGTTTTCTAATGAGATTTCGAATTTTGATTTGTCACGTTGTGAAAAAATAATCCTTTCCGTTTAACCCAATCACATAGTGACTTTTCTTTCTTTACACGCTCCAACAAAGATTTTGATTAGCTTAATCAGAGATTTTGATGTTAATTGGATCTATTTGAAGTCATGATCAATCCCAAGTGGTCCTTTTGCCTCGCGAACAAGCAAGCTTAGTTGTGCATTGAAAATCTCCTTCCTTTCATTTTGTGAGATCCAAAAGAAAATATCAAAAATATTTGAGATCTCTTCCTTCCTTAAACCATACTTGTGAATCCCAAAAAGGAAAAAAAAAAAAATCTAATCTCTAGAATAATGCACTCAATTCAATTCTTTAATTTCCTTTTCTCGATAAGGTAATTATTTAAATGTTAGAGTTTTAGTTTATTAGTTAAATAATAATCATTTATTCAGTTTTTAAAGGATTAGAAAAAAATAACTCACCTTCTTGAAAGCCACTCAAGCTCTCCAAAATTTTTATGTGAGTTTAAATAAATGGGACATTATTAAAAAAAAATGCCACTAGCATTATGTGCTTTTTTTATTTGATGCGGGTAAGCAAATTGGTAAAAAAAAACTTCTGTTTAGAAACTTTAGTACCCAGAATGACTTAAATAATATATTGAATCCTTTAGGGTATCAGTATATTTTACGCACGAAAACAAATTCTGGGCTTTTGGTCAATAAATTGTTTAATCATTTACCTTTTACCGATTAGTCTTATGTACCAATGTTAATAAACTATGACTTTAATGAACATAAATAACAGCTTTAAAATGTATCAGAAATCATTATTTTCATGATCTGATAACAATTTTTTTTTTTTGCTAGAGCATAGGTATTCTCATATGATCTGATAGTATGTTTCACGGACATCAATGTAAGTGCCTTTATATTTGCCTTGAGCCCAAAAAAAAAATAGAATCCTATGAGTGTTTTTATTTCTGTTCCGTCACCCTTAATTTGATTTTTTTTTTCTTTAATATTTTGATCTGCCTGGTAGGCTGAAAACTATTAGTCATACTTGAATGAAAGTTTTAAAATTTTGGTTTAATTGAAATCTTTAAAGAAGTAATTTAGAGTTAAAGTGCACTTGGATTAATCATAATCAGAACAATAATCATAATTATATTTCCATAGGACTAATTATGTGACCCCGACGTTTATCCTGAATAAGCAAATCTTGAACATACTTTATTTCCTTTTCTTTTGTGTCTGAAACTTTGAACATACTCAAGGGTCAATATCAAATAGATAAGATTATCTAACAAAAAATAAATGCCGATTATGGCTTAACTAACTATAATTGGATCATTAACTAAGTAGTTCTGTGAAACAGTATCTCTCTCTCTCTCTCTCTCTCTCTCTCTCTCACAAATTTCCACTAAGCAAAGCCTATAAGCCGGAAAGAAACACTTTTTACTAGATATTTTTATGGGTAAATTATACAAAGCACTCAAATTTTATGTGTAAATAATTCTTTTAATTTTTAAAAATTTACAATACATCTTCATAAGAGATTTAAAAATTTATCTGTAAAGATTTAAAATTTTATGACTTATCTACATATAGCATCAAATTTAAAGTGTTTACATGCATTAAAAAAAGGTGTAAAATTCATAGTTTAAAATTATCTGCGTAAATATAAAAATTTTAAAGAGTTTATTTACATATGACATAAAGTTCGAAAGGTTCAGTAGAATTTAGTTTTTTTTTTAAGAAAAAAGAATTACATATATGATCTATATCGTTGAAATCAAATTTAACTAATGAATAGTTTTTTTAAAATAATAAGAGTTTAATCTTCAGGATTTTCTTGTTCGCCAGAAAATCTTCAGGATTTAATGCTGTGTAATTTATGGGTATCTCAAAATAATATACAAGGAAGATTCACATTATTGAATTGTCAGAAACGCGAACCCATATGAAAAAGATTGAGAACTACAGAAAACGATAATTTTCGGAATGTTATGTAAGGTCATGATTGGTGGATAATACTTAATCCGATGCAATCATTATAATTAGGATACTAATAATAATAATAATAATAAATAATGGAATTAAACGACAAGATCTAGTTGTAGCCCCATTTTTCACTGTACGGACGTTATTAAATTTTTTTCAAAAAAAAAGTATCAATGACAATGAGAGAGGCATTATAAATAATAAATTAAGATAATTTACAAAGTGGAATCGACCCATTCGAAGTATTCCAACACGATGACAAACATATCAGTGCCAATAGAAGGAATCTTACGTTTATTAATTAATATTATTTCCAATTCTTAATATAAAAGCTGATGGTTAACTAATTTGAATACATTAAAGAATTAGTTAATCTAATTAATTGTAATAAATAGGTCTTGTCCTTCTTAAATTATCATTACTAATAATGCGTATTAGCTAGAAGCTTAAAACTATTATTTAATGAAACCTCTAACATATGTAACTATTATAATGACTAAGTTAAAATAAATAAATAAATATAAAAGACAAAGTAGATTAGAATATTATATTTAAGACCAAATTTAATGTCAAACGAGCTTTTATATTAAAAACTGAAAATAGTAAATTTTACTCAAACATAAAGTCAAATTTGTAACCCAGTTTAACTCTTTTTTTTTCCTTGAGTTCATTTACTTATTTTGCACCATATCAAATTTACATATAATTATATAATTATGAACAATAAACAGAATTCGAGTCATCACTTTACTTTAATACACATCATAAATTTAATCATCTAAAAATCAAAGTGCATTATTAAAAAAATATGTAATGATTTTTAATGGACCATGTCACAGCTAAATTATTTGCCTAGACGGTGTGTTGTGATAAAAGGATGATTTAAGAGGGTGACATGGTACCATACAACCCTTTTGTTGCTCCTTTGTTTCCAATAAATCAAAATCTTAAGATATCCAACCCTTTTGTTGCTTCTAATACACACACACATATCACTTCAATTCCTAATTTGTGTTAAAAATTAAATTTTATATTTAGGACTAAAAGTTGTGTGTATACAAAAAATACATGCAACGTTATATATAAAAAAAAAAGGTATAAAACTATAATCATCTGATTATTTCAAGGGCACTTTATTGTTGAAAAATTTTAAAAAATTAAAAAGTTGCATATGAAAATTTAAGAGAGTGGGACCTCACCCACAATACTTGATGGATAGATCTAAAGAACTAGCTATTATTAGGGGAAAAAATTCAAGATCGTATATATAGTTTATCATGAAAGGAGATTAATATTATATGCATGCTCATGATTGATCATGTAC